ATGCCCATATTCTTCCAGCTATTCCAGATATACAGAATAACCCATTGTTAAACATTCGAACCACTTTGGTGACCGATGCTAAAGTTATCTCTCAATTAAACTTTCGTACGGCTTTTCATTCACATTATTTCTATCTTAGTATTATGTTGTTTAATAAAGTATTTTCCCAGAACTCTTTTCAATTCTAGCTTAACTATTATTAAGTGCTATATAAATAGTTCTATTTTTTAAAATCTCTAGAAAGCACATTAAACTCTCTAACTACACTACGATTAGACTTCTCTCTATCAGCCGTGGTGCAGTGGTAGCGCACTTGCCTCAGAAATAATGTATCTGTGGTTCAAACCTTACCTCTGGGCAGGTTTTACGATATCAGTTAGGAAGGAGGCTTGAGCTTCTTATCAAATTATAAAAAAATTCATTTTTAGCCGGGGTCAAGGCCGGGACCCCGGTCACCTACTATATACAAGATCATATTCGAAAAGAAATAATGAATTTTTTTAAGTTTCTCTAGTCAAAACAGGTCAAGTTTATCGACGGAGATGGGTTAAGGGTTAGGGAAGGGTTATGGTTGATGGAGATGGGTTGAGATGACGGAGATGGGTTAAGGGTTAAGGGTTAACCCTGATGGGGGGGAGGGAGTTTTAGAAAGTGTCACTAAATGTCACATGAGGGAGGGGGTGGTTTGCCTCAGTGTGACGTAACAAAAAACATTTTAAATTAAATTGTTTATCATGCGTAATTAAATTAGTTGCAATGCAAACTCGAAGGTATTTATATATAATAAAGAAAAATTATATGCAACGAGAAAAATTATATGCAACGACTTCACGAATAGCGAGCGTCTTTTGTTTAACTTTCATTTAACAAAAATTTTTGTTTTTGTTAAATGATTGGATTTGATTAATTTATATTTCCTCCGTACAAAATTATTTTTGTGGAAATTGTACGCATAAAAAGAAACTTTAATCCTACGAACATAGAACTAGATAATGGGCAAGTATCTAAAAATAATTTATATTACTATCAAAAATCATATTTTATTTTTTTAACACTATTTATATTAATAAACTAAAAAGTTAAGTGTTATTTTCGCTTAAAATTAGGTCTTCAAATATAATGCATAAACGATATTATTCTATTTTTAATGTTATTATTAGTATTACTTTTAATATTTTGTGTCACTCTATTGCAAATTATTGGTCTAATTACTTTATTATTTTATTATTACGTTATTATTTTATATTTATATTTTTGTTATTCAATAAGTTAGTTAGATTGTTAACGAATTTTAGTATTAATAATGCTATTGTTAACATTAATTCATAATGTGCTTGTTTTTAATAAATGGTTGTTAGGAAAATAAATTTATTGTCGTTGTTGTTATAGAATAAAAATGTCTAGTGAAAAGGAACAACTATACAAATCTATTTATGAAGGATGTTTAAAAGCATTTACAAACAAACCAAAGCAAAAGTCTCAAGAAGAAACAAATAAAATCTGGTCTGAGATCAAAGCAAAAAGCAAAACATTACTCGATATAAATGTAGAAGTTGAAAAAAAATTGAAAGAACTAAAGCAAATTGAACTTCGAAATAAAGTTGGTATTCTATCTTACTGGACAAAATTACAAAACTATACACCAAAAAAGCTTGTGATTGAATCTAAAATCACTTTTGATGACTTGACTGATGCAACCCCATCAATTACAAATAGTGAAGACAGTGAAAAAGGCTTACAAGAAAACTCCAATTCGTTAAAAGTTTTAAAAAGACCTGCGCCAAAACAAGATCAGTTAAAGAATGAAGTTTTTTTTTTGCAAAAAGATATCGCATGTTTTACTGAAAAAAGAAATTGCAACTTGTTGTCACAAGAGGACCACCATATATTAAGACAAAAACAAAAGCTTTTGATAGAAAAAAACCGAGATCTTGTACTTCGTCAAAAAGCCACTGAACGTCAAACAGCAACCAGGCTGAAAAGAAAAAAAGCAATAGAAGCTTTAGATCCGGATATTAGAAAAAGGTTGTGTGGTATTAAAAATGCAGTATCAAAAGGTCGACCGCTAGCCTGTGATCAGGACAGTTTAATTAAAACGATTGTAGATATTGCCTTGAAAGGTTCTGCTTCTGATGATAGGAGAAGAACTGAAATTGTTCGAACTGTAAAAACATTAGATGACTTGGTTGAAGAATTAAAAAACCATGGTTACAATCTTTCCAGATCAGGTGTTTACTTAAGATTACTTCCAAGCAGATCTTTGAGCACAGAAGGAATAAGACATGTTAAAACTGCACCTGTTAGACTAATAAGAGCACAAAATTCTGAGCATAAATATCATGCAGACAAAAAATATTCGCCAAATCATCCATCAGTGCCCTTGAAGAACTTGCTGCAGTCTTGGGTCCAAAAGAAGTGACTTTTCTTTTCCAGGATGATAAAGCTAGAGTGCCAATTGGATTGACAGTTGCAAACAAACAAGCACTAATCATGATGCATATGGAGTACAAGGTGACTTTAGCTGATCATGATTTTGTAATTGCTCCTCAACACAAACTTATTCCTTCAGTAATTGCAGCCATAGAAGTCAAAAAAGATTGCATGGAAAAACAAGCAGTCACAAACTCTGGCCCAACATACATAGCAATCAGAAGTGCAAAACATGATTCATCAACAGCACTTAGTCACTTAGAAGACATTAATAGAATCAACCATCTTCCTGCATTTAAAAGCAGCTTATTTACTGAAGATGAAGTTAGCAAACCAGTCATGATTAAAACTGTTGATGGTGGGCCAGACGAAAATCCAAGATATGAAAAAACAATTCATTGTGCCAAGACTTATTTCAAAGAGCATGACCTTGATGGAATGTTTGTGACAACCAATGCTCCTGGCAGAAGTGCCTTTAACAGGGTAGAGAGAAGAATGGCTCCGCTAAGCCATGACCTTGCAGGAATTTTACTTCCATTTAATCATTTTGGAAGCCATCTTAATTCAAGAGGAGAAACTACAGACAAACTTATGGAGAAGGCAAATTTTGCCAAAGCTGGCGAAGTTCTTGCACAAATTTGGTCCAGCATAGTCATTGATGGATTTGAAACTATTGCAGAGTACAGAGAACCAAACAGTGAAAATCGTGTACAATTAAAGCAGTTTGGAGCAGAATGGGATGCTAAACATGTCAAAGAAAGTCAATACTTGCTTCAAATTGTAAAATGTAATGATCAAAACTGCTGTGGTCATCGTCGCAGCTCACTGTTCCATCTTACTCCAACTGGTTTTCTTCCTCCACCAATTTCTTTGTTCCAAGGAGAAAATGGCCTTGAGTGCAATAATACAAAGAATAACTTTGCAAGCCTCTTTTTAAACTTATCACTAAGCAAAACAATTTTTCCCAAGACAATTACAAAAAAGTTTCCCAAAGGATTGCCATACGATTATTCATGTCCGAGCATTTAAAATTCCTTACCAAAAAGAATTTGTACTAATTGTAGTCTATATTTTGCCACTATCAAATCAATGAAACAGCACAAAACAGTTTGCTCAAGTATCGGATTATCGAATGAGATTCAAAAAGTTAAACCTCATTGCCTAGTTGCTCAACGTCTATCTGAACTCATGTGTGTCTTTTTAAATTCAGACAAAGAAACAATTGAATGGCATGATCAGGACGATGTTGATACCTCTGATCTCAACTGGCCTTTAATAATTATTGAAGAGCATGGAACTCCAATACTTGAAGGTCAAAGTCCAATTTGGGAACAAATTTAGGACATGTTTCTTAAACAGAAACATGTCAATTGTATTTTTTTTAATATGAACTGTTACAATTAAATAGACACGTGTGAAAATTCCAAACTTTTATCTTTGTCATGTCACACAGGGGTGGGGGTGGGGGAGTTTTAAAAAATGCCACAAAGTGTCACATAGGGGAGGGGGGTCTCTAAAAATGCCTAAAAAAAATGTCACGTATTATTTGAACAGCCCCTTATAACTTTTTTTTCGAAATTAATTTAACTTTTTTTTAATTCAATTTAATTTTCGAATACAATAATAATATACTTTGCTTGCCGAAATGACTTTTTTTTTCGAAATTAAGTTCTTTTAAAATTATTTAAAAAACTTCACTTTTCAAATTTCAATTAAAATTTGCTTCAGCTATTCGATATTTTCGGGAGGCAAAATAAGCGCAAATTTATGAGAGAGAAGCCAAATCTCAAATTTTATGAGTAAATGCGAAGCGTTGCAAAAACTGGCATAAGTGCAAACCGGTATAAGTGCGAAGTGGCATAAGCCCACCAAATGAAATTGCAAATATTACCATAAGTGCAAATCTGCATTTTGCACTTACGTCAATGTTAACAAATTCTTTTGGTGCACTTGAACCAATTCGGACTTATGCCAATGTTTGCAAATTCTTTTGGCGCACTTATGCCAGTTCGCACTGATGCTATTTCACACTTACGCCAGTTTTTGCAACTTATTCGCATTTATGCCATTTCGCACTTATGCAAGTTCGTACCTATGCCATTCGCACTTATGCCAGTTTTCACTTATGATGTTCGTGCTTAATCAGTCGTCCCAAGATTTTTTGAAAGTTTTTAGCAAATTCGAAATAATTTTTTATTAGAAAACATTTTTTAGAAAATTGTATTTTCAAAAATAAAACCTAATATTTTATCACTCTTTTTTAAACCTTAAATTTTTAAAGAGAGGCGAGTAGATCCTAGTTGACTTACACTTCACATTCTCTAGTCTAATAATATTAATAATCCAATATGGGCTCCACACTGTTGCTGCATATTCAAATTGAGGTCTAGTAGATGAACTGTATAATAGTTTTAATGTTGTAAACATTTTTAAATTAAACAATAAAAACAATAAAATAAAATTTAAAAAGTTAAATATTTAACTTTTTAAATATTCAAAATTAAAAATATTTAAATATTGAATTAAAATTTTGACATGAACTAAAGTTAAATACCTAATTTAAACCTTACCTAAAGTTTTTATCCATATTAGTATTGACATTTGTCGTTATTCTAGATATTCTTTGTTAATTTGGACACGATATGCCATTATTCTTAACACCTTCAATGATATGACATTCTAAAAATTAAATAGCATGTTACAACTACTACATGTTAAAAATAGTATTTTGATCTAAAGCTGTTTACTTTGCTAAGATAATTTCCTAACATACTTTAAAGTGGTACACACCAAAATGTTTTTCAATTAAAAAAAAAAAAATCAGTTAATAGATTTCTATTTTAAAAAGATCCTTGAGTTTGAAATAAAAACATAAAATACTATCACTCTTCTTCTTCTCCTTCTTCTTCGATAGTTTGTTATAAATGGTAACATGCTAATGCAATCTTTTACTAGTATAAAATTCTATTATTATATCCAAGTGACTAAAAATAAAAGTTGGATGTATATGTTTGAGCGATAGGAGTGATTTAATTTGGTTCAAAAGGTTAACAAAATACTACTGCAGATTATAAAAATGCTGTAAAAAAAGATGAAAGCTTTTTGATTTTCTTCTTTTTTTTTTACATTATCCTTTTCATCAATTGTCATTCATGCAAGTAATTAAAAAATAAATTTTAAAACGATTTTTTTTTTTTAATATAGAGGGTGGAATTTAAAAGTGCGTGATCTTGTTAATTGGAAAAAGAACTGTTAAAATAACTTTGCATATTTTTAGGTTGCTGAATTTAACGGCAAAAGTATTTTTTTTCTTTTATGACATTCAAGCATTTTTTTTTTTTTTTTACATTACGCACGGACATATCACACACGGACTAATATTCGTCCGTGCGTGATAGTTATATTTTGTTTAGCTTTACTAATGTTTAAATCTTATATTTGCTGATTAGTTAAGGTGTAAACTAGTTAGTTTAAAAGACTAATTCAAATGAATTTTGAATTAAGATGAACAAAGTTAGGCGTATAATAGTTTATAAAAAATTTAGAAAAAAATTTACAGAATATTGGATTGCTGAAGCAAATGAATAATAAATAAAAGAGCGATCATGATCGACAAGGAAAAGAAAAAAATGCGTCAAAAATATCGCAATAGAAAGAAGTAAAAACGAGAAGTAAAACAATATACTTCTGATATTGAACAGTACTTTTTTATATTCACAGAGGTTTGGAAAAGAGGTTTGGAAAGGCATTTAAAATAGTAAATTCAGTGTTACCTGCAAATTCACACGAAAGAAAATATCTTTTGAAAGAAATTTGTAGACGTGAAGAATCCGACTGGGACCATGCAGGTTCGGACAATGTCATGCTTTTAGCTTTTTTTAAATATAAGTTTTTCTTTTTTTCAGAAACAAATTTGTCAAATGCTGATGACCATAAGAGAAGCATGTTCATTTTTTAAAAAGTAAAAATTTTAGTTTAAAAGTGGGAAATACTAAGTTTTATGATCTGCGACTATACAAATTCAAGCAGGTCAAGAATTTTTTCCCCTATATATGTCTTACCATATACCATGAAAATTTCAGGCTTATAACAATACACTTTAAAATAAAGTTAATTTAATGTTAAACATAGTTGACAGATCTGTATACAAGTAAATCATTGCAGGTTTTTGAAGTTTAAAGCGAACTGTAAAGTAGTAATGTTTGATTAATATGTTTTTACTGTTACAGATTTAGCAATATTACTTCCTTAACAAATGCCAGATTATATTCGCAATGTATATATTAAACGACAACATAGTGCATATTTTTGTCTATAAATGCATATGTCGCGAAAATGTATCAGAAAATGAATTGATTATACAAGTAAGTAAAATTATAATTTTATTTGCTGTAGGTGATAACAGAGTTTAATAATTTTTTATTAAACTTATATTTCTAAAATTCTTCTAAAAATAAATAGATTTAAGATAAAATTACATCATGATACAATAAAGTGAAATACAATCCGCTCACTGGGTTCATTATAAACTAACAGTATGCACAGCTGTAATTTGGTCTAAGAGCAATATACATTTTTATGCCATTGTATTCGATCGCTTATTTCTACTTTGTTATCAAACAATTATTAAATCGTTATCAAATTATTGTAAGGTATACTTTTGCACAGATGGTTCTTCATTACAATACAAAAACTCATATATCATGACAGCCATAAATAATTTGTACAAATTGTAATCTGCTCTTGTTAAGATTCGTTGGTCGTTTTGCCACATCATACGGAAAAGGGAACATTTGGTGGCATAGGTAGAATAATAAAAAGAATGATTAGATGATAATATCTGGAAAACAATATTTTCGCAGTTTAGAAGATTTTGTGAGAATTGCAAGTAAAAAAATTAACAAAATTAATGTAAGTCTTTATTTGGAGAACAAATTTAAAAATAAAAGTTGTAGATTTTAAAATTTTAGTTAAAAACGTTTCATTTTTCAAGTCATCTTGATTACAAAGGAGTGTATTACAGCAAAGCAAAGAGAGATCAATGGGACACTTTTTAAAGATAAAGTTAAAGTTAAGAGTATTTTTTGCCACCACTTATTTCTTTTTAATGTTGATGGAGCTTTTATGGCAATTTACAACTAATCAGAAATATTAAAAATTGTTAAGAAGCCAATTTCTTCATTATTATAAACTTACAAAAGTGTAATTTTCTTAGCTTTAATATAATATATTAACTATATAATACATTATTTATCTTTAATATAAAATCATTGACATATTATATATTAAATAATTGTACAAAATAAATATTGTTTTATTGTATAAAACAATATTTATTTTGTATAAAAAACAAAAAAACGAACAACAATTTAATTTCAATAATTCTTTACGTTAAATGCGAGCCAGAACAGTATTTCGAGTAATTTTTATCAATGAATATCTTGTTTGATATCATTATCAATTTATCTCCATAGATTCAATCAAAAAAAAAAAAAAGTTTCTAAGTTCCAATTGTTATTTTATTTTTCGTCCGTCGGTGATATTGGTTCTAACTACTATTGTGGCTCTACGATACATACTGTAACAATCTTTATGAATGCGTGTATAATAATAACCGATAAAAAACAAAGTACCCGTCACTTATTTATTAAAATTTTTTATTTTTGGCTTTTTCTGTTCCGTGCGTAACTCTAATATAAAATTAAATTATTCCTTAACGAAGCGAGACATAGTTACTATACTTTGTATACAAAATATATACATTATATTTAATTGAAAGTTTTCATTTAATTAAAAGTTTTCATATAATTGAAAAGATGTCGAAGATTATCAATGGTATTATTTTTAATTTTTAGTTTGCTTTTTTTTTACTTATGAATTTTTAATGACACGTTAATCTCACGTGAAACATTTTGTAAAGTTGCAAATGAAGAGGGTTTGATGATAAGACTACAATCTTCTACTTGCCCCTGGCATTATTTAAACTTTTATTTTATTTATAAATGTATACATATAAATATACTCGTATTTATAAATATATTCAAATTGACGAAATAAATTACACACAAAAAAAATCATACTTAATTTTGTTAATGCAACAGTTGCAATGTTCCGTGCGTGATTTTTAGGAAACGCCATATATGGTTATTTGAAAATGTATTTTTAATAGATTATTTGAAAAAGTTATATGAAAAGTTCATTTGCTTCGATAACTTCCAGAGTACAAGGTCACTTCAATGTAATAAAGCACTTACCATGAACGTGATATTAAACTGGTATGCATTACAAACTCTTTAAAATAAAAACATTTCTGAATTATACCGTCTTAATGAGTAATAAAGGTTTTTTCTTACTAAAAATAAATAGCTAAAAATAATAAAAATTTATATACCAAACATTGATCGTCACAAACAAAGCTGGCGTGAAGGAGGGGGTGTGGATGCGGTGGGGTAAGACTCCACCACACCTTACCCCCATCAATAAATTTTTTGTTCATTTAGTCGGCAAGTTTGACCTTTTTACTTAAGTCAGTCGGCAAATAAAACAAAATTTTTTTTATTCAATCAGTAAAAATATTAATGGCTCAACAATTATCCCCCCCCCTCCCCCACGTCACACCTCAGTCACAAAGAGTTTTTTTATTGAGATAAAACATTTAAGTTAATTTGAATATTGAACGAATTTTTTCACTAGATTCATTAAAATACCCTTTTACTTTTAACACCATCTAACCTATGTATTTTGATGGATTTTTTAATAAAAAAGCTATATTAACTAATATTTTTTTATCCGTTGATAAAAAAATAGTTTTTGTGCATTTTTATTATCTTTTTTTTACCTTTTTTACTTTTTTTTATCTTAAAAATAGTTTCCAAAAACAAAATTTTACTTACATGTTTGCGTTTTTTTTTTCCCATGAATTTCCTTGATGAAATTTTTTCAAATGGAAACATTATATAGTAAAAATTTATGAATAAGAGTACGAGAATATTAAATTAGATTTAATGAATTAAAAATGAAATAATATGGATTTTTTTGCTTTTTCAATTCAATTTTTATATGAATAAATGTAAATATTTTATTAGTTTATTTAAAGTAATAGAAAGCGTTCTTGCGTTTAATACTGCACGTCCCCGATAAAATCAAATCGATAAAATATTTACTTGTGTCGATAGAAAGAGTTATAAAAAGTTATTATGCAGTTTACTTAATACACCACTACAATTTAGATTAAAAAAGTTTTTTCTTCAAAAACCCGTAACTTTAATACCTTTGTTATAGTCTGAATAAATTTTGATTTTAAGGAAGTGCTTTTATATTTATTTTTTTATGTTATTTTATATATAATTTCAAAAGTTCAAGATTAATTTGAATGATAATTGTTAAAATAATAATAATAAACTTCTTCAAAAATTTTCATAGTAAAAATAATTTAGCAGGGCGAATGATCCGATTAATTTCATTATCTGTGAATAAAAAAATTATTAATCGAAGTAAATGAAAAAGGGGTTAATGTTAAAGTAAAAAAAAAAATTTCCTTTTTCCAAACTCGGATGTGCACCGTTGTTAAGCTGACAATACCTACTAATTTGAGTGAGTCAGTAAGGTGTATAGGCAAGTTTTTTTTTTCATGAAATGTAAATTTATCTGAAAAAATAGTTTTCAAGAAATGAAACTAGATTAGAAAATGAATCTATCATTCCTTTTATAAGAACTTGGTGTAAATATGACAAAGTTTTTGATATTAGTATGATAAAAAATGTTTCATATCAATATGATAAAAACCGATCTGTCGGCGGTTACAAACTGATTATTGTACGCCCACCACATGTGAAGAAAATGCTGGGTAACAATGAATTATGTGTGTCATTATTTATTAGGCATCTTCGTGTGCTTCGATAATATTTTAGTGAGGATTTCTGAAATTAAAGTATTAAGCAAATTGTCTATTTCTGTATCAACCTTATTATTAGCCAAAAGTAATGGAAAGACCTGCATATATTGCAAATCTTGTTTAAGTAAAAGTAGAAGAAATAAAGTTGTAAATTTTGGACCATCTTACACTGTAGTATTTAAGGGATTTGTGTATGGGCATAGGAGACATTGAGATTTAAGTGATTTTTAGACAACAAAGAAACTTTTAGATCATCGTTGTCGTTTTACAATAGAAAAAGAGTAGTTGGAAAGTTGTATGAGAACAAGTCATTGTTAACACTCCAATCAAAATTGATTTACTATTTCAAGTTACCGTTTTTCAGGATCAATAAACTGCTTATTAAAAAAAGATATTAACCGAAAATACATTAAAACAAATAATAGTCTAATAAACCTCTGCTCCATATCTAACAGTAATCATAACATATCAATCTGTACAGTAATCATAACATATCAATCTAACAGTAATCATAACATATCAATCTAACAGTAATCATAACATATCAATCTAACAGTAATCATAACATATCTAACAGTAATCATAACATATCTAACAGTAATTAAACATATCTAACAGTAATCATAACATATCTAACAGTAATTAAACATATCTAACAGTAATCATAACATATCAATCTAACAGTAATCATAACATATCAATCTAACAGTAATTAAACATATCTAACAGTAATCATAACATATCTAACAGTAATCATAACATATCTAACAGTAATTAAACATATCTAACAGTAATCATAACATATCTAACAGTAATCATTACATATCTAACAGTAATTAAACATATCTAACAGTAATCATAACATATCAATCTAACAGTAATCATAACATATCTAACAGTAATCATAACATATCAATCTGTACAGGTAAACAAATAGTCTTACTTTCAACATCAGATTTTTGAACAAATGTTTTTGAAATAACATCTAATGCTTTAAAATGTTCAATATTTTATAATTTTGAACTGCAAAAGTTAAAGAAAAACTTATTACTTCTGCATATTAGATATATATCAGAAATAGTTTTAAAAGGAAAAAAAACTTATTTAAACTAGATTGAAAGTGCCTAACATCATCACCAAGGTGCAACAAATAGTAAATATTATATATACAGAATGTTTTTTCATATAAGTTATTGTCTTTCTTAAAAAAGTATACAAAAGTTCATCTACATATTTAATAGAATTTATATTTATAATAAGGATTTTATATAGACATTAAAATAGACAGTGCAAGATAGTGATGATAAATATATAGACTAAAAATATTTTTTAGGAAAACTTGACCACTATATAAAAAAGAAACGTCTTAGTTTAGTTGCTTTCCATCTGTCTTTTTCTGCAAATGATCGAGTCTTTCGTGCAAACTCTAATAAAATATAGCATCTCATTTTAGTTAGTAATTCAAATATCTTTTCTATCCGAGTTTTTTAGCATTCTCTTAAGCACTCCAAGACAAACAGTATGCATATAGTCTATAACAAAACCTCTGATAGAAGGAAAATCTAAATCTACTAAAGATAAAATAGTACTTTGGTACAATAAAGAACAGATTAAGAATTTACAATACACATAAATTCGTTTTGTAAACTTTTCATTTGTTCTTTTTTATGATCAATTCCACCACTATAAACAATACGATTAGCAGTATAATTCCACCACTATAAACAATACAATTAGCAGCATACGAGCACCTTTTATTTGATATCTTTCACAAGCGTAGTAATCAACATGATTTTTTATACGTTTTATAAAAGATCGAGCTGGCACATTACAAATAAATGCCAATATAGACACAGAAAATATCTTTTTGTTGAGGCTAAGTTTATAGTATTTCAGTTCCATAAAATAAAGACACCGTAAACGTTATATAGTTGTCAATGCAGCACAAAATTGGTAAGAAATTAAAACCTGTTGATTAAGGTAATGGTAATCCATCAATGTTAACCTTTAGTTAGGGTGACCGTTACCCCGGTTTTTACGTTGGAGAGAGCAGGGTTTAATTAATTTTAAATAATTAGAAAGACATACAAATATATATATATTTATAAATCAAAATTTATAAATTTTGACACAAAAATAAATTTAACCACAAAAAAAAAAAAAATTTTATAACAATTTTTATATATAGTTACAAAATATTGATATTAAAATTTAAACAATTTAAGTTAAGTGTAACTAGGGTTGCCAGACGTCCGTTTTTTACCCAGGAGAACACGGTAAAACAAATTATTTTTACAGGTTTGGCGCTGTATTCTCCTCCGTAAAAGTCGGACGTCTGGCAACCCTAACTATAATAAATTGTTTTCCATATAAATGTTGTGATATATTCATGTAAGACATCGATATCATACAAATGTTTTGATATATCCAATTTAGAAATCAGCTAAACCGACCAATTTTGCTATTAGCTCCTTAAATAAGTATTGTATCATCAGTTGCATCTAATGCTAAAATTGAAGCACATAGTAAGCATTAGTAAACTGTTCATTATTGTTAATTTTTTATTATTTTAGTTTTTGGGGTCTTAAGTGACATCCAATGGATGTTTATCTGTAAGATGGTTTCTTGCGAATGTGAGCAAAAAAACACTTCATTGCATTGGTTAATAGTAATCTCGTAATTTACTCTTAAAGTTATTTTTATATTTTTTTTTTTTCGATAATAATATGAACTTGTTTTATGTTTAAATTTAAAACGTTTATATATGTAAGTGTAATGTACATTTTAATCATACATTTTAGTTTAATTGTTTATTTTTTTTTCACACATAGTTTAACTTTGTGTTATTTAGATGCTGTGATAAAAAAAGCTTTAACCTCAGGACCATCAAGAGAACAGTTTAAACATTAACTGAAGAGATATTTTTTGGTTTTTGGGGATCGAAATGGCGGACGAAAAGCTCGAGAGGAACGTTCTTTATATAAAAAGTTATTTGCATAGATAACAATTTAAACTTTTAATAACATTTTTTCGTTTTTTATTTCATTATTTTTTAACTCACTTTTGGTTGGGAATAAATTTCGAAAATACTTATTTATTATTTTCGATATAAGTTGGAATAAATTTCTTTATTAAACAAACTTATTTGTTTGATTCATGCGGGATAATACATTTGTCCTTGTGTATTAGTATAAAGTAATGCTTTAGTAATGACAAGCGACCACGAACAAATGTTAGAAAAGATCACGGATCAGTACTGGTAATAGATAATGGGCCAGTGCTAGTAAGCGATCGCGGGCCAGTGCTGGCAAATGATCCCGGGCCAGTGCTAGCAAACAATCGCAGGCCAGTGATGGTGAACAATTGCGGGCCAATGCTGGCCCATGGCAGTGGGCCAGTGCTGGCCCAATGGCCGATTCGATGCAGGCCCGTGATCGACAGCCGTCATCGCGCCGTAGTCGCAAGCGGAACTGGACCAGCATTGGGCCGCTAGCGGGAGGCTGTCTGGGTAGTTACACTAACGTTATTTTTCATCGAAATTTTTATCGGATTTTGTATCGGTTACGTTTTTTATCGGAGCTACAACGTTATTATAGCTTCACTTATTTTTTCAGAATTTTTTTTTTTATTACTCTATGATTCGGCAAGGTAAAAGTGTAATTAAAATATCATAAGTATAAATTTATTTGTTTCTGAAGTATCGAATTTTTTGAATATTTAATTTTTAAAAATAAATATAATAGTAAATTATAATTAATGGTTTTAATTTTTTGCTAAAACATAGAAAATTTTATTATATTTGAACTTTTTAAAGAAAATGTTACTACCAAGACAGCACACGACTCCGGGCCAGCACTCTGGCGAATCATCGCACGCCGTTGCGACTAAATTAGTAACGGGCCATTACTGGTGCGAGTCTGGCAAGCGATTCAAGCAACTTTTTATGTACGGTAAATCATCGCAAGAAGTCGCGGCGGCGTGGGACGAAATGCCAGAGCTCTGGCAAATAGTCGTATGCCACTACGACGGCATTTGATTTCGGTTCAGCACTGGCC